GCAAGAAAGAGCACATTAAATTTACAGACCGACTCGTCTCTCGCAATTCCATCCGACAAACCAACTCTCTCTCTCTCTCTCTTTTCATATGTATGTTTCGCACTTTGAAGAGAATCAATTTTCAGGTTGAGCATGAAAGACTTGAACAAAGTGCTAGTGAGTGAGATCAAATTGGAGCAAAAGTGTTTGAGACGATGAGGTTAAATTGGACCAGATAAGTATGGTACGTATGGTTGTTTTCCTCTCTTTCGCTACTGGATTGCCTCTCCGAAACAGCAGAAGCCAATTACTTGAACGCCTCTCTCTCTCTGAAATTCTGAGGAAACAACAAAATCAAAATTCGGACCCCGTCAAGCGATAAAGTCGGATTTCGATATTTTTATTGTTATGTGGCCACCGTCCGTCGGTCCGTCCTTGTACGTATAATGGGCCCCAAAGGTAACGCCAACAACTAAACTCTGCTGAAGAGCAAAAACAATAAAAGCAAATGAAAACCTGCCGGCAAAAGAATGACGAGATGAGTCTACGAACGAACGAATCGTGTGGTATTGTTGCATCCAATTCTCTCCTCGCAGAATAAATCATTGACTTTTATCCCACTAAAGAAATAAATTGAGCCGGAGGAAGAAGAGGCAGGTACTGCATTGTTGGTAAAGCGTTTGTTTAGTAGCGCTAGCTCTAAAAAAAGTGATTCGTTGACTGGCTCAATTCCTGTGAGAGAACGAGTGAGCATTCATAAAATAAAAGGTAAAACATATCCATCAACAAAATAATTTACAAAAAGTATAACACACAGAAAAAGAGAGAACCAGAGACGAAACAACCCCACATTAGGATCAACTACCTTGTAATCTCTCTCCTGCATATGTCTCCCCACTTCTTACTCACATTTGTACAAGAAGTATGTAAGTAGCAGTAATGTAACATATCGTCACATCAAAGTCAGCTACTTTCAATGCAAAATACCGTCTTTTATAAATCCTTTTTCAAAGTAATAACGTAGAGCAATAGTCGTCAACCGTTGTAATATGGCGCACCGTAATTGATAAGTTTGTATGTCGGCGACAGTAATTTCGTAGATTATATTCACTTATCATGATACTGCACAAGAGTATACATATAATATCAGGTAGGTCGACCTATACGATTTCGTGTAGAAGGAAACATTTTCCTAACACGAGCTGTCAGCAACTTTCCCACAGAGAGACGACCCAACAGTTAGTCATATATTATCATTCAAAAATTCATTATTATTATGAACAACATCCTCATCCTACCGTGTGAAATTTAGACTTTTGAAGGTTTTAAGGGAGGAAAATTTGAGAATTTTTGGCCGTAAATTAAAAAATTTCTCTGAAAATTTTGGGTAGAAATATGTACAATTTTCATAATTTTACTTACCGACCAAAGTGTCTCGCTCTCCATTTCACAAAAGCCAAACATCTATTTCGTGCATTTATTCATATTCATTACCCTGCCACGTAATAACATACTCCACTTTTTTTTACATGTACAGACCATTGTACACAAGTTTAACGGCAATCCATCCATCCATCCAGCAAGAAGAGTGCAGTGCATCCCCGAATTTCCGGTGGCCATTGCTTTCTTCATTCCACTAGGCACGCTTGGCTGACTATATTACTCCTTTTCGTCTTCTTCTTCGTCGTCGTCGTCGTCCTCGCCGCTCAACAACGAAAAGTTCCACAGTTCTCAATTTACAAAGACGTCAATTAAAAGCCTCACTTCACATTCGTGGCTAACTTACCAACTCAATTAAATCGAAAACAAAAATGAATAAACAATCATTATTATTGCATTGTTTGTGCCGTAATTACGACATTTGATTACATGCAAATATAGCGTTTTGACATTGGATAGTACAATCACAATGTATTTATTTAACATGCATGAATCCCACTGATTGGATAACTCGTTTAGAAAACGAGACGCTAAATTAACCAACATTCATCAATTTTCATTTTACCATGTGCACGTTTCTCGTCAGTTACGAACGAGTATCATGTCCGATTAGTAAATAAGTATTTTGCATCATGTATTGTAATCTTATTGCATATTTTTGATAAATTTCCCACAAATTTCCACTTATCTCGTGGTGGCATTAGTCATAATAATAATGAAAAATGTAGAAAAAATGTGATTGGTATGGTGGAAAATTATGAAGTCAAACCAATTGTCAAGTAAATGGTCTTCTGGTTTGACTAAAGTGCAGAATTTTCTCATCTCAGAGGTGGTTACATACGTTGTTGGAGAACAATTTAATCTCAAACATATTGTAAAATATGTTTGAGCGAGGCAGTTCTTCACAGTTTTTGGGTGGATGGAAGAGAGACGATTCGATTTCATGAAATGGCGATTTGCGGTCGTATTTTCCCACTGTGGCACTGGTTTCTCAATCTACCACGTCTTTTAGTTGAATGCCATTTCAAAAGTAATTGAATTTTTCCAATTCTTCTCTTACATGCTGCATTTCTTGCACAAGTTCAAATTAATGTGGTGGTGGTGGAAGGCATCCATAATGCGAGGCATACATTGTACATATTTAGTTGATAGCCTGGCTCGAAACCATTTAGTCTGAACGAGCAGAAAGAAATATACGAATCGTCGTCACGTCTATCCATCATAATTGAGGTTGAAATCTCATGTGATACTCATTGACTTGATACATATGTATGCATGTACAACCACATCTACTCTAATAAAGTGTTAGTATGATCCCTGGGTCCCTGGGTCCGTCTTCGCAATGCAAATTGCCCCATACAGTAGACAAAGAAGGAAGCGGAGCAACCACTGCATGCATGCACTGCACTGCATGAATAAATGAATACATGAACATGTACACCCCACATACATACATCACTCATCAATAGTGGTTATCATGATAAGTGATCGTGATAAACACTATTAATTAATTATTTTAGTTTGAGAAACTCTACCCACAGCGAGTGGCATGTCAATTCGAATGTATTTTTGACGCTGAATCCGAATCCGTCAATAGCTTGGCGTTAATTGTAGAAGTTAACGGGGTTTATGGAACTTAACGGGAGCGTGAAGCGTGGGAATTTAAATAGTTAGCTATGCAGTTACTCCCACGCGACGGGAATTTAAGTAATTAGCTATTCAACTACTCCCACAGGGGGGAATCAAATTTTACTGTGACCAGGTTAATTAAAATGCAGTATGACTTGGGCAAACCCTCAGTCTGATGTATGTATGTAGTATGACAAAGTCTCCACTGGGAATTATTTAAAATATAGTATGACGGATTTTTCGCTTTGGGCACACCCCCCACTGGAACTCTAGAACCCGGCCTTGGCCGGGCTATACGCTAGTAACAGCATAATGGTCTCCTGTTATGGTCTCCTGGTCTCCTGGTCTCATAATGGTCTCCTGTATGTACGAGCGAGTCAAGAAAATAATGAAAAACATGATGTTTTCATGATGATTGTGTGGAATTAGTTTGTAATTTGGAATATTAAACCATAATAATACGTGGGTGGATGATAAACGGACTCTCCTCCAATGAAAAACGATTACATTAAAAGATTCCATCAGAGAGGTAACAACAACAGCAGGCAGTTGTGTGATGCCTACCCCTCAAAATAATAATAAGAGTCAACTCACTGACTGAACTGACATTATGGTCATGTTTAAATGATGACCTTAGATTTTATGGGCACTTTTTTCAACGACAAATTATTACCCAAGTTTAGGTCTTAGCTCTTTCGACTGTGACGGTGGTGGTGGTGGTGGGAGGAATATAAGCACATAGACGCAGACGAAGGAGGATGACGATGAGGAATACATATGGCCGACGCATTGCAATTATTCTAGAGAGAGACAATAATAATAAAAGACAACCAGTCGGGTTAAAATGGTTGAGTTTGAAATAAATGACGGAGATGAGACGAGTGGGATGACGAGATAATATCAAATGATATTAAAAAGATGATAAGTTTAAGGCAAATTATAGGTTTTGTGGGATCATCATGACGATAATGTTCATCTCATCTCGTCCTATGCATGACCATGGTGTGTCATTCCATCTCAATAAAAAGTACAACAGCATAACCACAACGGGTCATTCTTAAATATAATGCACCGACTGAACTGCTGCTGCTGTTGGGCTGGTGGTGACTTATCCAAAATCGAATCCATGCCTTCTCATCCCTGCCATCAAATAAGGTATCGGTGCTCAACAATGCGTGTACATTCTCAAGGACAGAACCATTAGGAATTAATAGTTGGTGACTTATTGACGCTGCTGTAGTAATGTCGCAGCAGAGAGGTCTCGTCTCTCAATTTTACACCGTGAGCCTGAAATGCAGTGAAGTTGATTTTTTCCTTTCAAGCTAAACTATTTTGTGAAATATTGCCAAATTGTTTGCATACGCAGCCAAGTAAAGGATGGTGGGAATTGTTGTTGTGTCATGAAATTTATATGTCCACGAATGCTTTTCATTTGAAGAGGATAATTACGCCATTTCGTGGTTAGTGAATCTTGTTGAGGTGAACTCAACGCATAAACAGAGGGTCGTGTTGTATGTCTGTCTGCTGTGGTTTTCCACCACGGTGTACTGCATTTTCGTGCAGTCGCTGGGTCGAATATTGTACAATTTCGACTTCCACTCTATGTATTTTGCAACCAAAAATGCCTCGCGGTATGCTTTGTGTGATCCTATTTAATTTCCGCTCCGTGAGACAAATTTAGCGAATTTTTGGCATAAATTGAAAGCTTTTCTTAAACTTATTTATATCCTCGGTTTGCTGTTTTATACAGACGCCGTGATTTGCAGAGTCCAACGAGAGCGTGTCTATCTCTATGCCTTTCTCTCTCAAAGACTCCTCGCCGTAAGGAGGAAAGGAAGTTGATTAGCTAGGAAATTATGAGACGAGTGCTTTAATTTGAGGAGCAGGTAAAGTAGTAGCAGTAGTAACAAGCAAGTCGTAGATCGAATAGCAGTGGGTCGGTCGTCATTTTGGGTGCTGGTTTTGTTTGGCTGACGTTTCAAAGCAGTACAACAAAGCAGTACCACGACGGCAGTACCACGACGGCAGTAGCATCAGCCGTCGAGAGAGAGAGAGAGATGCCCCAAGGAAACCGTGTGATTTTGAGTAGTTGGAGCTGATGTCCCATGGGAGGGGAGAAGTCAGTAGGATTGGAGCGTTATGAGGAAAAGAGGCGCGGCTTAATCCTCTCCACTCCTAAACGCTCCGCAAACAACAAACAGGATCATCATCAATTTCACTCCACCACCGCCGATGCTACACTGCTTCGACCAACGACTTGGTCTGCCCGTGACCAATGCAACGCCTAGCACCCCAAATCAAACACTGCTCAATCTTGAAGCTCGCTCTCTTTATCCAGTCCACTTAACCACTTGGCTCACCAGTTCACATCTGGACTCTCATGGATTTGGTAGTAGGCAGCCCTGAAAGTATTTACGCCACAGGAACAACGACACAACCCCACGTGACTTGTGACAGAGTGAGCGGTGGAGAAAGTTGGGAAAAGAAAAGTGAAAAAAAATTTAAAGTTATTTCGAACCACCTGCAACGGAAAAGTGTGTGAGTTTTTCTTGTTACCTTTTCCGCCCCATGAGTGAGGCATGAGTGAGGAAGCGATCACCTCTTCTTCCGATATGGAAGCTGAAAACTGCGACAAAATGTCGTCCAAATCTCCCCTAAACTTTTCCATTTCGCGACTCCTCAGTGCCGCCGAGAACAATAATAAAGTGGCGACGACGACGAATAACAAGGGCAAACAGACGATAACCACCTCCAGTAACAACAATAATAATGGAACAGCGAGCAATCGAAATCACAAGCATACCATTCACTACCGAGCTCAGCAGCAGAGTCCTCCTCCCACCAATTCTGACAAACATGTCACCACGCGACACGGCCAAGACTCCCCACATGCTCGTGGTGGTGGTGGTGGGGAGTCTGACAGTTGTGATGAGACTGACGACCCCCACCACCAGTCTGACTCTGAAATAGAGATGGATGACCCGGACGACGGGAACAATATGGGGACGAAAGGGGGTGACTCACCGCCAACTTCGAACCACTCCCATTCTAACCGAAGCAGCCCAGAGTCTCAAAGTCATCACAGTAGTGGCGGAGGATACCATCTTGGTGGTCATCACGCGTCTCATCTTGCCTCCTCCTCTCCCGGATCTGCTTATGGGCCTGGCAGCATGGAGGGGATCGGGGGGATGAATCCCTTTCCCATGTTGGGCTACTCGTCCATCTTCCTCCCAAACTTTCCCTGTCCGATTACCTCATCAGCCAACCACATTATCCGAGTTCCTGCTCATCGCCCCATGTCAAATTTCCAATTATTCGGACAATCAGGGCTCGGACCGCATAATCCGCTCGACATGAACTCTGCCCCGCTATTTAGCACGTTCGACCCTAGAAGTTCCCTTCTCTTGAAGGACAGACTAAATGGTACGTAGAACAAATTATGTTATATGTCAAACTATCACGTGTACATATATCCATCCATCCTCATGTCACGATAATGCATGCATATTTCGAGGAGAAAGTCGTGGTTTTTATCGCATCATGGAAAAATGCGATCCATTTACAAAATTCGAAAGGTAGACAAGCTTATTAGATGTGACATTTTATTAAACCTGTCAAACTTTATCTTCATACGATTATTATTACTCCTCGTCCTTTCCTAAATTATGATCCCAAATAAATTTCATGCTAAACTTTCCACAATAAAACTGTCAACTTAAATTTAGTAAAAAATGTCACAGGAGGGCTCGCATATTTCGACCCAGTCAGCGTCACGCCACAGATGTACACTGTGTACCAGCGTGCACTTTGTGTGTGCACCACCCAGCTAAATAATTCATGTTCCCTCGAGCTTAGCATGATACTTAAATGGAAATCAATCGTTTCAAAGTCTGTTGGGAATTTGTCCCATCGTATCGTATCGCATCTCATCCTTCTTCTAATAACAGGCCATCCTCCTCTCGCATGTCGTGTCATTTGTCATATTTTGTCATGCCAAGGAGTAGAAGACTCTGGCTGCGTGTGTGTAGCACGTATGATGTCGAACTCTTCTTCTTCTCCTGGGTGGCAGTGAGGAAAACTTGTTTCTTTCCCTAACAACCTGCTCAGACAGGGCACACACACACACCCACCTGAAGTACATACAAAGATTCCTTCTGGTTTCCCAAGTTCAAGTACGGGAGCCACGATTTGCGCCCACACTGCGACGACAATTCTGCTACTAATTGCTGGAATGAACTGTAAATGATTTGAATTCTTGTCTTGTCCCTGCAGCCTCACTTGCCTTCACGCGCAGAATAGGACACCCATATCAGAATCGCACCCCGCCCAAGAGGAAGAAGCCACGTACTTCTTTCACCCGACTGCAAATTGCCGAGTTGGAGAAGCGGTTTCACAAGCAGAAATATTTGGCCTCGGCGGAACGCGCATCTTTAGCCAAAGCTCTCAAGATGACGGATGCTCAAGTCAAGACGTGGTTTCAAAATCGTCGCACCAAATGGAGGTGAGTTTTCTTGAGTAGAATATTGGCACAAATTTTCCACCATTTATGCACTTACTCAGCGATGCTAATGGGATTACATGCCTACCACCCGAGGAGGAAAACAAAGCATTGTTGCTAATCCCTCCAATATTAATTATGAACATGAGCCCCACACTGCTCTGATTGTGTGCCTTGTTGTGGTTGGTACTTGGTTGGTACGTGGACTTTTGTATGTACATACATGATTGGACCCATTATCAATTTAAAGAGGCTGGAGTGGAGTAGTTTTAAGAGGGTGTAAATGAGTTCAGTTCACCTGAGACAATAAGAATAATCGAGTGTGAGTATGTGTATGTAGGTATAAAAGTTAGTGAGTGTGTAGCAAAAGAGGTTGTTGGCGACACACCGCTAGGAACCCTCTCCTTCTAACATGGAAACACCATTAGACCAACTAATTACCCAACTTATACAGCCAGCAAGGAGTCATATTTACTTAGGGAGGAAAGTATTGAGCGATTGTCTCACATTTTTAGCGTATCATCACTTCTTCATAATCTTTTCTTCTTGGCGTGCTTATGTGAGACTGAAGATGAGTCAGAGAGAGAGGTAGTAGCAGCTCATCCACTTCACATTCTTGGCCCATGTATCATTTTACACCTCCAACCCCTCATCATCACCTCGTCCCTCTTATCTCAACTCTTTCCCATTTAAACATAATTTCCATTTAAGATTCTTTAATAACTTCCAGTCGGTGGGGTTATTAGTTGTCGTCGTCGTCGTCAACGTCGTCGTCTCGCTCCAAGCCACTCAAAACTCACCACTTTACACTTATCAAGAAGACAAACACTCGTTCCTTTTCTTCTTCTTCTCTGTAATAAGAAAGGGTTTCTCTCCAGATTAGGACTCGAGTAGCAGAACGTGTCCTGCGATGGGGACAAATAAATCATAATGATGGATCCATTGCGAAAGCATTTTAAACGGCATGTGCTTCTTCTCATTATTCTTAATGTCGCAATGTTTATGCAATCATAGGTTTTTTTCTAAGGACGGCATCAAACATCCGTGTGATGCGGTTTAGTGCAAACTTAATCGAGTGTGTAATGATGACGGATTGATTTATCATCTCGTAGGTATAAAAATTCGTAGAATTGTTTGTTTGACAAATAGTGCGAATTGTTGTACATGCAGAAATACCTACCTCTTAAAATTTCATAAGACTCGATTCATCCTCAAACCCATTACTTATGTACCCATCATCATCATCTTGGTCTTCATCGCCGGTTAAACATTGATGGTTAATGTTGCCTCTTATACGTACATACGAGTTACGCTGTTAAACTGCTCCGCGTCTGTCTGACTGATTCATCCATTTTATCTTTATTAGTCTTAAAGAACACGAAATAAAGCTTAAGTAGGGAATTGTCGAGATAATGTGAGACAGAAGACGTCACCTCATCGGTTCACTCCTTGGTCACTTAGTCACAGATCCATTTTACTTTTTAAAGGATTCGATTCTTTCATTATTTATTGTCTCCGTTGCACTTTAGCTGCAACAAGAAGACTCATTTTTTATTACCTGGTTTAGAACTTTACTCGTTCCCTTTATTTGCGTCCGTTTTGTATTTGTATGCTCTTTTTAAATGCAATAATAATGAAACTGAGGGGGAATTAAATTTAAGTTTTTATGCTTTTAATTTTGACCGATTTGTTCTTGTCGTGGTAAGAAAATACTTAAATCAGCCAGTACACGAAATTGTACAAATTATACGAAAATAATTACACGCCACACATTCTAAACACAAAGGAGCAATTATTACACGTAACGAAATGGACATTAATAAATGATAAAAATGCATTATTTTTATTTTCTTCGTTACACAATTATTCTTATGAAAACGTATGGAGACAACGCTACCTTAAGAATTTGTCATGCATGCGACTTGTCGAGTTGACGAAATAATAATATTGTATAAAGTCTCCTCCTCGTTCTGAAGGACGTTAAAATCTGCGACAACTATGTAATAACTCCAATAATAATAAGCTAGGCTACCTTCCTTCCATCATAACCACACGGTTTTGCCGGACTAAATGGAAGAATGAATACAGAAAAATAAACTTCTCTTCGTGTTTCGTTTGAAAAGGGTTTGAATTTCATATGCAGTCTTCCAAACGGTGGGAATAGGAATGATGACGATAATGATGACAATTTCGTATCTACATGTGTACTAAAACCTGAAACAAAATGAATTACAATTCCGTGTCTGCCATATAATCAAAGTAATAACAACTCTTAGCCAACTATGTCCCTCTCAGGTTTCATATTTGCATGCAAATGGCTACTTGTTAGGTGGACTATAAAATTGTGCCAGAGTTTTAGTTGAACTAGGATAAGGTAATCAACTCCAATAATAACTCCCTCCCTCGACAGGCAAAACGAAGCACTTACTTAAAACATGGTCACAATAATATGCATACAACTCGCTCACTCACTCCCTACACTATTATTACGTATTATCGTGCCTTCAAGAACTTTGAGGAAATTGCCGTATCGATTAATTCACTCTCTGAATAAGTGACATGCAATAATAATTTCGGACTTGTCAACAACAAAAAAAATACATATTCACATGTTGATGGTGACCATTTTCTGAATTTTGTCTCGTTTTTTTGTACTTTTAGACGACAAACTGCCGAAGAACGGGAAGCCGAACGTCAAGCCGCCTCCCGACTCATGATATCTCTCCAAGCCGAAGCCATGACGAAGGGGGTGTACTCCTCGGATGGGCAGCAGAATGGGGGCCGGACACCGTGGGGGACGCCGACCGGTCCGCCCATGTCCGTTGCCCAGGCACATGCCGAAGCACAGTTGTCATCACCCAACAGAAATTCTCCGGAAGTCAAGTTCTTACAAATCACTTGCTGATAAGTTGTGGGAAGAAAGAGAGAGGATAAAATTAACCAGTGTTCGTTTATTGTGGATCGCTTATTTTAGAATGTATTATGATTACGTAACAGCAACACATAATATAATATTTGACATAGAGATGCATTGTTATTAACTTATTCGTTTCGCGTACTGATAAGCAAGATGAGGGATCTAAATATCTATTTCTTTTGATATGGTATTTATTCCGCAAAAAAATACAATCGCTCGCAAACTGAGAAATACATTTCTCTCTCCTCCTCCCACCCCTGCCCCCACTGGCTACTCGTTGTTTTCGTAAAATGCGGACCTTTGTTCCTTAATAATTTATATCGGTGTCGTTATTACCCATGCATCCCAAATAGCTAGCTTTAACGGCAACCTTCACAATAGTTTGCTATCCATAAATGCATTTGTGTTAGTGTCCAATCATAATTTTATTAATTAATTGATCTCGAATTTGTAATAAAGTAATAATTCTTAATTTAAAACGTGCTGTTTACGGCGTGCTCATTTATTTCACGAGATCCGTCGGCCAGGACCTGAGAGTTGCAACTGCAGAAAGTTTGAGGATAAACATAAATTTTACATATGTATGATAAAAAATGGACAAAAACAGCACGCCAAACGGATATGCGACTCCCTTTTTCATTCAGTGTCAAAAGCAATTTAAACTATTGCACACATTTCATACTTGAAAAATAAACACGATTCGAATCGTTATTATTGTCATACAGGAAATAGGTTCGTTTAAGCATTAAAATTGAACTGCGTGTCCTATGAATGGATTCAATTCGGATGGAAACTGTTATTCAGTTTGTCAGTCTCAGTTTTTTTTTTAAATTTTCACAAGCATAATAATGATGTAATTTGGTATCCTGTTTGTAAGCACTATTTACACCGATTTCCCCACACTTTAGTTTAGATTGCTCACTTTAACAGCCCCAATCCTTGCATATCAAAAATATCCTGCACATATTTATTTATGTAGCTGCGGTCTAAACTGATTACAAATTCATGTACACACAATGAGGGGAAAATACGGCAGCATAAATTCCACATTTTGTAAATCTAGGTACAATTTTAATTTGATAATTTCAATAATTCTCGTCATATAATGTTTCAGACACGTTTGAGTTTCTGATTACGTGCAAAGTGTTGCGTTATGAGCCTAATAAAATAATCAATAGTAAAACATGATGATTGAGCCTGCCTCACTTAAATTTGTGCCTGGCTGGAGAGCGTATGAAGAAGACGGATTATTCATTCGCAGTCCTAATTACTTGCACAGCTTGTTTGATAGGCTTCAATAAAGGGAGAAGAAGTGGCAATAAAATAAACTCGACGTGTGGAAGGGCTGACGACGACGAGGACGAGGACGAGGACGGCGATGATGATGACGATGTTACTTTAACTTTGCCCGTTACTACATTATTATCCTCCTCGTCCATGTTTGGCGTAAACTGTTGTCAGCTCAGCAGCAGGAGCATGAGACCAAGAAGGCATATCGTAGAGGAGAGAAGGTAATTTCTCTAAGTGAGGGTCATGATATTCTAATTTGATAGCGCTATTATGGCGTGCAGGCAAACCAATTATGAGCATGCATGACTTATTCTCTCCCCGTCTCTCCCCCTCTCAAATCCGTTTGGAGGAGGACTAAACGCTCTGCTAAAGTTGAAACAATGTATGTGAAATACATTTTACGTGACATGTACGAGTCCTCCTGCACCAGAACAGCCATCCATTTTACATCCAAAACGGACACTTATGTACGACACGATGTGACCAAGAAATATGGAGGAATTTAACACGGGATAATTTGGTTTTGGACGCATTCATGATGAAACCAAGGAGGCCATAGCATACGTACTCGTACATTTGAAACTGAAAATATTATTCACAAAATATAGACGTGACCATTTTACTCAAAAAAATTAATAAAAATGTATGAATCGCAAATCTGGCATGATGAATGCTCGCACCTGATCCTGCTACGTTGTTGCCCATATTACTCGACCATTTATTTTGAAGAGTAATGAAGTTTAAAGTTTCACTTCTTGAGGAAGAAAGCTGTAGAAGTGATGATGATAAGGTCATAAAATGGATTGGATGTCGGAACAGGGGAACTACTGCTGGGGAGGAGTGTGAGTCCATATAATCTCATCCTTCGCAAAAGAATACCCCATCCGGGCATCCATGTATGAATGTAGAGTAATAATGTGCTTCAGGATTTATAACGGTGTCATATGAACAATTTACCATCGCCTCTCTCTCTCGGGGTACGAACTGTGGTGGTGATTCTTCTCCTGGCGTTGTTTACGTGGAAGTGAGTGAGCTTATGCAGAGCTTCATAGATACACACCTAAAAACGTTAGGAGAAGAACGTACGTAGCTGACTAAAGGGGAACGTGTGAAGTCAATTAGACTCAATAAAAGCGGAATAAGCCAAAGACAAATGCCCGCTTGAGACATAATTCAATAATAAAGACGTATAAAAACAGACTTCATTTTTTATTCTCTTGTGAAAAATTACGCTTTATTTCCTCATTTTATTGTATTTCAACCCTTCTCACGCGTCTCATCTCCTTCCCTCCTGCACACGAGAGGCTCCTCAAATGTATTATATTCAGTTATTACGTTAAAGTTGGATCAAATCATTAATATTTTCCGTCTTTTCTTTTCGCGAGCAATTCCGCTATAAATAATAAACCTGATGACTTATCGCTTTCTCAACTTTTTTTTACGAAAAATGAAACAAAGCTCCAATCAATTACACTTTTAGTGAAAAAATTATATTATTCGAGGCATATTGTTAAAAAAATTATGGTAAAAAAAGTGGTGAAAAGCTCACATTTTCTGCTTCAATGTATTAATCGAGTTTGAGAAAACAAACAGAATCTTGTATCTTGGATCATGTGCGAGATTATGATGTTAGAAAATCTGAAGTCGTGCCACAAATAGCTTCTTGATATCATATTATTATGCCTTCACTACCAAGAAAACTTTGCGCTGCACCTTTAGTGAAACCTCATCATGCCTGGATACGATTAAATACACATTATTACCTAAATTTGACCCTCTTCTACTCGGATTTGGAGAAGGAGGACTAAAAGCGAGCGGTTAGTCGGTGAAGGGTGGATACCTCGGTAATTTATTTGTCTTTAGAATTATGGAAAGTTTCCAGGAGTTTCCAGGTAAAGGGTTCTGCTTTTGGAAATCGTTCCCTTGTTTGTACAGCATTAAGCATAGTAAAAAGAAAGATTATGACAGGAAATCACCAACGCGTATTAAAAATGACGGATTTTTATACAGGTGAAATGAAACCAAAATGATAATAATTTTCATTTTACGAGCTAAAGGCCCACCAAAACTGATGTGATACAACCCAATCTTTTTAAAAAAATATGCATTTTCATCCAGGTAAAAATATACACATCAATCCACTCCTCTCCGTCGGCATCATTTCTACTTTACTCCTTAATTCTCGTAGAAATTTTATTTAAACAAACATCACAACCTTGCTTGCCGGCAATTAAGTGTGCATTAGGAACGGAAAGGAAAAGTCTTTCTTACACAAATAAATATGTATCACAACTTCCTAACGACATTTGTAATGGCTGCTCTAATGACGTCGTTACAATAAGTACTGCCAACAACCAAGCCAAACTTACAAACCCAAACCACCGACATCGTCTTATTCGATCTTTTAAATTACACTTGCTGCAAAAAGAAAGGGTTACAAAATTCCGGTACTTCGTCTCTTAACAAAACTTATAAATTATCCAGCTTGTGCCGCAAAAATAGCAAAAAAAAGTTGAGAACAATTTGAGCAATGAGGTGAAACTTGTATGTAGCTCACTCATTTCTTTGTGGGTGGGTGGGGTGTGAATTTACTATTTTTCCTGTAAAAAAACATGAGCAAATAATGGTGCATTTTAAAGAGCAAACTATGTACATACTTCAATACATATGGCGACGTAGCATGATTATTTTCTCCCCAAAAAGGATGAATGGGAAAGGCTGCAAAAATTGAGCTCCAGGTCAGTCCTGAAGGTATCATCGTCTCGTCTCGTCCAGTTTACAAACCCATCAACCAAACCAGTAGTGACTGTTGCCACCTACAGGCTTGTAATTGGCCGCAATAATAATGCCGCACCAAAAGAACCATTTTCATTGACAAGTGAACAATGCCCTTGGTTTTCTTGGAGATAAATATTATTTCTTCTCCCATTGAGGAAGATAATCTGTAGCAATCTTGGCAATTAATGAAGGGTTTTGCTGACTGACTGGCTGACTCGCCCAGACTTTCTGCTTCAGAAAGTGCTTTCTTAAATAATTCTCCCTTCACCAGGAGCAGCAGTAGAAGAAGAAGAAAGAGCATCTCTTAACTGCTAGTTGTGTAATGTAAATAAATACGTACAAACTGAAAGGAAATGGCTCTGTCCTCGCCATTAATCTTTATTTTACACAATTATTACTCCCACAACGCCGCGAGGAGGAGAGGAAAAGAAGGAACTGTGCGGTCAAGTAATGGTTCCGTGTTGTTTGTGCAGATAAATATGTAGTCAATGGTTCAAAGATTCATTCACAAGGAGAATAGCGTCTCGTCGTCCAACAATGAATTATTTTCGGGCCGCTACTTATTATTATTACCGACAGATTGCAATAGCACAGATTACATAAGGGGGACGATTAAATAATATATACAAGTCGGTCCTGGATCATTTGAGAAGTTGGGGCAAAGAGCGATTTCGTAACAATTTCGACCTTTACGCAACACGTTAACTTAGGATTTGCTTCTTCTCTCATTCATTACCAGACAGTGATGATGATGACCGTGTTCATTAAACTTATGCAATCATGGGTTAAATAATGTTTGCTCCCGATTTGATCCACTTACCACGACTGCTGCATGCCTTTTGGGTGGGATTTACCTAAAACGGTGCAAAAAAGTTTAAGAGAAAATCCTTCCTTCAATTTGAACGGGATAGATACAGATAAAGATCAAGTGCGAAGAAGAAGGCGAGTCCGTGAGTGAGTAAATAGTCGGCAAGTTTAAGAAGACAAGGTTTTCAAGGGAAGAACTGATTTCCATCCAACTTCTTTCCCTTTCTTTTTCATTGACAAGAACAAACAAGGTAGGCGAAGATCACCGGTCGGTCGGTTCGGTCGGTGTACGTACGCAAAGTCGTGAAATGGGCAGGTTGTTGAACAATACGTTTGTTTTTGAAGGATATGTAATTACTTGGTGACTCGTAAGCACAACAAATATCCCAAATTCATCACGCAATACGAGTCTTGATATTCTTCCGTCCATCCATCGTCACACAGGCGAAGAATAAGAATAAAACTGGTGGTGATAGTGGTTTCCTCCAAGAAAAACTTCATCCCTCCTCCTTCCACATCTTCCTTGTGATATTCTACTCTGGAGCAATAATACGTGTAATTTGGTACAAAATGGCTCTTTATATTGTCTCTTTCAACAAATTACCTTCCCAGAAGA